CAAAAAGCACCCAGAGCCCGCAAACACAGGCCAAATTATTAATAGCACCCCACTCCTATTTAGACGTCTATATCAAGGCTAGATCTGCAGAACAGCTCAGTATCTAGCTTGCACCTGACTTTCATATTTTAGGGGACCTCTTGTACTTTCATTATTAATGAAAGGCTCTGTTATTGAAGGCACATGGCTGATATTAATAAGGGAACGTAGGAGCCATTAATCATTCCTTAGTCCTTCAAAGAATGCCAAAGCGTGGGATCAAAATGAAACCTTTTTTTTTTTTGAATTTCCATTCCATGGAAAGTTCTGCAGTTTCATTTTTCTGTTCCAATTTGGAAGGACAGCAAATTTCGAAATGCTGGAATTTCCTTGCAGAAATCCAATCCTATTTTCTGGCTAGCTCTAACCATTTTTAAACTTCGACAAGGATTGCAGGGAATCACAGGATGTTTTGTTTTACTGCAAATAGGATATCTTTGCCTTCCCATGGTTAAATAACCTTCCTCCTCTAAAGAACTTTTGCTGAAGCATTTAAATTCTAACTAAATTACTGGAATGAGTCAAAATCTCCCCCTTTGTATGCCTGGTGTGTTCACAGCTGGCCAGTGAATGTGTCTGGACACATCTGTTTTGGTCCTTGTCTATATACCTGAATATCTATCTTATTTTTGCAATAAAGATGTTATTCCATTAAAAAAAAATCAAGATTTCTTTCTCTGTTCTGGCTACTAGTTTTACGAATGCCATCATATTCCCTCAGATCAGATGCATCTGTAAAACTGTGCAGACACTTTGGATATACTTTGGAAAGATCCAGTTGGCAGTTTAATAGGTTTGTTTGTTTTAAATGCCATTTTACGATTACCGCCACATGCCGAGTGCTCTTACTTTATTCAGCTTTCGATAGGATCCTTGCACTTCTTAAAAGGACCAGCTGCTAATGAAACGCGGCCTGGCGTGCTCCAAGTCTGAAAGGCCAGAGCCCTGCCTCCACCTTAGGGAACTCTGAATCACTTGCCTGAGTCTAAAGATTTGGGGCCAGATGTTGTTCTCATCTGGAACACAGTAACTGGACTGAAGAAGTCAGAGCTACTCCGTTTTAACTGAGATCAAAATCAAGCTGTTTTAACTGCAACCAAGTTGCGGGAGTCTGGAGCATTAGTGACAGATCTCGATGAAAAATGCCTTCGCTCCACCGCAGCGTTGTTGGGACAGGTAGGGGCAAGAGTTCCAGACTGGCAAGCAGCCTCCCCATCTGCTACAACACTGGCTTTGCGAATCAAAGCGAAACTTGGGTATTTCACTTCTAGGACAATGGTGTTTATTACTATGAAGCCAACATTCAAATAGAATAAAGATGCCTTAGGAAACGGTCTGTCCACCCACATGCTCCAGCACTGCAAGTGAAGTCTCTTCTGCAAGAATCTGGCCCCAGCACCACGCCTGCAATTCATTTTGTTACCAAAAACATGCCCCAGCTGATTCATGCCGATAGGGGAGCCTCACCTCATGACACGTTAAAACTGTTTATGTAGCGCAGAATGGCAGTTTTCCCTTTGATATACAACTTGGCTGTTTCCCTGGGTCTAACAGAGCTTTGACTGCTGAGTAACAGTCAATAAAACTTTCTGCCCCAGGAACAGAAGGTGAGAAATATTTGGTAGCATTGGCTGTGAAAGAAGAATGCAACGGTTTTCCTTCCTGAAAGATGGAAAGGTCAGGAGCCGCTGTGCTTGAGAACATTTTGCAGCCACTGAAAACAGTTCAATAATATATGATACTTGTTTTTTTATAAATTGCCTTTTAGAGCAGGCTCTCCACGCCTTTACCAACAGCACTTACACCTTGTGCAATCCTCTGGAAAGGGCATCCTACTGCAGTTTTCCACAGAGACAAAGTGACAGCGATGGCCCACCGGAGTTTTTACCACCATAGCAGGTGCTGGATGCAAGAAGCCATGCCACCTAACATCAAGGGCACTGAACGGAGCCTTTCAAACAATCCGCACCAAGTTAAAATGGTGATGGCATAAAAAAAGACAAAAGAAAAAAAGACGGTGCATCACCGCCAGTCCGTCCAGTGCACTGAATGACCTTGCAAAGAGGGAGAAGCGTCTTGTGCCATGGGATCCTGCCTTTCATTTGATGAAGCGGCAGTTCAGAAACTTGCTCCTGCCATGATCTTCCAGGAATAGCAGGAAAATGGACAGGGAAAGGCCAAAAGAAGACCGAAACGTACCACTTCTCCAGCCCAGCCCTTACCACGAGCCCCCTGCGTACCAACCTTGTTCCCAGGCGCCGAGTTCTCAGTCCCATGAACACGGAGCGGATCAGTTTTCCAAAAGAAGCGGCGTTCACTGGATCTAGTTTGTGCTCCTGACAGTGCCGCAGGTAATGGTTATACAGAGAGCTCCTGGGGAGGCTCACTCCTTCAGCCGTCTCATAATTGTCCAACAGCCACTGGAGCTTCATGCATAAAAATATAAAATTTAAAATCCACAATGCAAAAGGCGATGAATGTTTTGAATGGCCCTCCTAAAACCATGACAGCTGCTAATTGCAGCTAATTATTGCTTTATGAAATAAATGAGCAAAAAGCTATGAAATACCGCACCAAAGTAACGCGCACGCTGCTGCTCATGCTTGTCCTTCATTCAGTGACATTGCTGTAGGGGGGCTTTGAATCATGGAAAACATCATCTCAGAGGAGCTCATGGGTTCCAGTGACAAAGCCAATGATACCTAATGCTACCCATAAGGATGGAAAAATCTCCAAGGAACCAGAATACATGGCTACTCTGTCCACTAGCACCAATCCCCAGTTTAAACGTTGCTGGAGAAACTTGTTTCACTCAATGCATCATTACTCGTTTGAAAAACGGAGATGTTTGCGGTTGCTCCCTTTACAACAAAATAAATGGTTACCGAACCAACCTTAAAACTGCGATGTGGTACCAGCTATTTTTCAAAATGTATTGCCTGAACTGTACTCCTCTTGACATTTACGTTGAGTCAAGTTTGCAATTAGATATAAATTATTTATATCCAGCCAGTCTGAAAGGGCAGGTCAGTCGCACAACTACAGCTCATGAATTAGAATATAAAGGGACCAAAACACACTTCTAATGGGCTAAATGCAGTTTTCAAGGAAATAAAACAAAAGCCGCATTTAAGTGCATATGAAAACATATATTAATAAAATGGCAAAAGAAAAGCTAGCTGCACAAACAGAAGAGAATGCGGATAAGCTATTTCCTTTATCAAGGGCAAGGAAAATCTTAGGGTGTAAACTCACAACAAGGAGATATCAAGGGGGAAGGAGGAAGTAGCAGGCAGACGATACAGGTCCCTTCACAGGGATAGTTTCACCTCAACCAGGTGGAGAATCAAAGTCCACTGGTACAAGTTTCACTGGTCTCGATTTTGTCTGTTCACATCCATCCTGAAGCAGCCATTTGCTAAAGGTGAATCGGATCTGACCCTCTCTGTCTCGTGGCAAGAGCCAGTAGGGTCAGTAGGGTTAAAGCATGTGCTTTGGAGATTTGTGCATCCTGGCTCCAGTTGCGCAAAAGGCATCGGTGTTATAATGGTGCAATTACAGACCTCAACTCATCACTACATTAGCTCAGTTTAATATCAGTAACTCCATCAAAATCAAAACTTCAGCTTGCAATGGCAAACCTGGCCTGTTTATTTCAATTGAGTTATTTCCGCATGTGTCTGCGTGAGAGCAGAATCCGAGCTGAGGCTGCACAGTCCTTTTTTGCCCAGAATGAGGTAATTGCATTTACAGACATATGTTTTGCAACTGTAGGTATCAGAGTTGCAGACTTCATCTGCTTCAGGCTAACTGCGTACCAATAAACCCAAGCTGCATTTTAGGCTTTATTTCTTTATATTAATATGAATTTGGGGGGCTTGACCAAAGCCCCATTGAAGTTCACTTAGCTGTTCCTATTGATTTCACTTGGCTTTGGATCAGGCCAATAGTTACAGCCACAAGACAAGACTCCTTGGGTCGTATGTTCTGAATCCCGCGTTGCACGGGCCTGCCTTCCTACCTCTTTCCATTCACTTGTTCTCCAAGCCATTTCTGCGTATTTCCCAGATAAAAAATTTCTAAGCCCACAAGTCCCATAGCCTATTTTAAAAGCACACTGACATGCTAGCAATCTACATCCATTCAAACCCTTATTTGCAGAGGAGAATGGCCAGCCTGCAGACCTTAAGTTATTGATTAAGCCATCTATAACAAAAGACAGACCCCTAGTATTTCTGGCACAATAGACCAGCAGGGGTTCTGTTTCAAATTAGTCTACATCCACGTTAATTTTAGCCCATCCAATACATGGAGAAGATTCACTAGCCAAGAATTACCGTTGTTCTCTGCTAATTCTGTTTGTCCCGTGGACTGTATTCAGTCACAACAAATCCCCCCATCTGAACACGTTCTTGTTGCAAGGCACAAAAACACAGCCATACACCAGAGTACAAAGGGCTTAGGATAAAGGAAAAATAAGCCTCACGTTCCATTTGATCTTGCATATTTCCTGACCCAGATTTTTCTGTGACATTTGCCTTCTAAATTCATTTTCTGAGAGCACCGTATTTTTTCGCGTCTCGTTAATCCATACATATAACTTCATATCGTTCCAAGCTTTACAATACGGTCTCCCACCATTGAATTAGCATCATTATGGAGAGAAACTTCTGAGCTTAAAAAAGAAATCTGTGGGGATATAAACATTTTTTAATTGATTTTTCCTTTCCTGCATTATTAGCATTGCTTTAGATCAGTGATTCTCAACCAGGGTGCCAGGGCACCCTGGGGTGCTTCCAAATCCTTTGAAGGATGCCAGAAGGCATTAGGAGATAAGCGAAGTGCAAGAAAATAAGTAGAAAAGTGAGGTTCATGCTTTTCCCTGCCTGGACAATCAATCCCCTACCCTCACCGCCTAGCCCCTCTGCAAGGAGGTAAGTACTGTCGTATGTAAATTAGTTCTTGAAATGGGGTGCCACTCAGTTCACAAAAGTTATGGAGGGGTGCCTTGAGTCCAAAAGGTTGAGTGCCACCGCTTTAGAAACTTCAAATGGTAAGACTCTTTAAAAGAAATTTAATTTATTTTCACTCACTATTGCGTTTACCAGGGCTGAACAACAAGGAGAAATTCTTCACTGTCATGTTCTTATATATAGTGATCAAATCCTAGTCATTTTTGCTTTGGGGCTTTATGCTGCCAGGACCACATTATGAAATCCTGCAGGGGAACTTTTCCATCGCATCTTTATTTTATTCAGTGGCAACCGTTTCTTTGTTTTTTGCAAAAATAGTTATTTATTTTACCAAATTTTGAGCCAAATTTGACTCACCAGAATGGCGAGAAAAGATTTTATAGGGCTAGCTCCAAAGCAAGAAGTTCATTTTAAAAAAAATGGTCTCAAGAATCTGAAATTTGTGTTCATTTGGCATTTGAATAAAATCTAGATTTAAAAAAAAATTACACACAAAGTAAACACTTGCCCTGAATAGCTAAGAGTCTCGTGGCTGGGGCACTCTGCTGGGGTGGGGGGGATTTCAGGCTAAGATCCTGTTCTGTGTTATTCTGAGCAAGGCTTGAACCCAGGTTCTTCACATCCCAGACTCTCGACTATGCTGGGATTAGGCCTGTTTCTCAGTCTCACCAGAAATTTCACCCAGAAGCTGAGAAATCTTTCCAAGGAAGATTTTCTTTTTTTCAAATCAAAACCATAGAAACCATCATTTCTGATGTACGGGCATTTTCAACCAAATATGTTTCATTAAAAGTTTCTCAACCACCTCTAGTAATCCATTCTTAGATCCTGATTTAACTTAAACACACAGGCCTAATTTTAAGCACGTGCTTTAATTCCATAGACTTCAGTTGGATTTCAGTACATGGGCAGGTGCTTTAATCACATTTAAAAATTGTTTCTTTAAGTAAGAACTATAGCTAGATCAGGGGGTGCTTATTTATTTATTTTTTAAATCCACTGAATTGTGCAAAGAAGGGAAGGAAGGGGGTAGCGGATTAAACAAAACTGA